CGTTTTTTTAACGTTTTGTGTGTTACCTTTATTTATTAAATATCATGTTCTTTGCACTTAAACCATAAAATTCAGTTCAATAGCAATGTCATAAAATAATTTTAAAGTGAGCATATCTTTAGAATTTCTGATACACAGTTCCATGTGCTATAGAAAAAAAGAACTAGTGCAGTTTTCATAAAGATTTCGAAAAGTTGACAGATGTATTAACAGATTGTTTTTAGTGGCTTTGGAGTGGGGATACTTAACATTGATAGCACAAACATGTGGCTCTTCCCATATTTAGATAACTCAAATTACTGGTGAAGGGGGATCATCAGCAGCCATGCAGTAAAGTTGCTGAACACTGTAGTTTGACCTGGGTTCAAATCTTGACAAACGAGTTGGCTGCATGGGTGTTTTCCTCACATGTATTAGGTAGTTCAGAAAGTAAATTTTTCTTTCCCAATTGAGGGCTTAATTGTATTTTTTTTCACAGCCAAACTCACACAAAAAAATTATCCAATGTGTATGGAGAAGATGTACTGACAGAATGGCAGTGCCAAAAACTGCTTTGTAAAATTTTGATCTTAAAGATGAACAATGTTCTGGAAGGCTAGCTGACGCTGATCAACACATAATAAAGGCATTAATTGAGTGGAAACCGGCGAATAATGACTCATGAGATCGCTACAGATTAAACTTATCGAATTTGACCATTCATGATAATTCAAAACACATAGGTTTCTCATGTTTTTAAGCTCTTCTTCAGCTTCCACTGGCCTTACAGAATGTGGTGCATCTTCAAGATCAAAACTGCCATATCGAAATTTTGCAAACCAGTTCTGGCACTGGCATTTTGTCAATACATCTTCTCCATAAACATCGGATAATTTTTTCTTGCTTGAACAGCATTTTTACCTTTTTGAGAGTAAAAAAGTAAAATATGCCCAAAATCCTACTTTTCACTTTCCATACTTAAAAGGGCCCCAACCAAAAGCTACTGTGTAGAATCAAACTTTTTCACAAGCCTTGCTACATCAGCTTTCGAAATGATTACGCAGCTTAAGTGAGAAGTTGGCTGTGAAAAAAATACAATTAAACCGTAGGCTGGGAAGAAACGAAATTACTTTCGGAACAATCCTATAACATAGATATGAGCCAGCTTCCCTTAAACACCATCCTTTGTCTTAAGCAGATATCCTGTGCATTTTGCCATAATCAAATAAATCAAACAAACCAAACTAAACAGTGGGTGGAAATGATATTTCTGAAAATAAAAAAACTGACCATTTTGAAAAACATACTTTTGTCATGGTATGTCAACACACAATCATATGGTGATGGTTGGACTCCACGAAACTTTCACCCCCCCCAACAATGCAAACAGATGGTATTCTCATTGATAGCACTTGTTTTCAAAGGTTAAATGAACAACCAACGAGTCAATCTGAAAATTTCATTCAGGATGTCTGACTGTTCCTTGTTTACAATGCAAATTTGGGATAGCTTTGTTATCAGATGTGTGGTTTGAATTCCACATTCATCAAAATGTTAATTCTGAATGAAAATGGACATAAATGTTAAATTAGCAAAATTAAGGACTGTACAAACCCTGAAACGAATGTATGAAACTATCCCATCAGTATTTAGAAGGAAACATATAAATTTAGATATGATACTTATAAAAAAATTAACTAAATTGATAAACCTACAGCTTGCAAAACACCATATATTTTAAATAAGAGAAAATACTGAGTTATTAAATTAGTATAAATATTAGTTAGCAACTATATGTGTACTGTTGAGGGTATGTATATATTTGTGACACTTTTATATGCAACAGAATGCCTGTGGATCTGAAACTTTAGAAAACCAGCAGTTTTTTTTTAAGTGGGGTAAAAATTTTTTGTGAAAAGCGTGAAGAAGAATTATATTTTAAGAGTACTGTCTCTCACTTTAGCATATGCTTATTGCTCCACATATGCACAGTAGACATTTTTTTCTCCAAAAAAGCACGTGAAGGGATTAATTTTACTTCGGCATTAAATGAAACATTTCTATGTAGAAGAAACAATTTATTAGCAAAAATTTGTATAATCAATAATTTGGCCCCATAGCTGCTTTTTGTTTGACATACATTTCAAAAAACACTGCATCAAAGTTCATTATTGATTTTATACAGTCAAAAGTCGTTAATTCGGACACCCATAATCCGGAATGATCTATAATCCGGACCTCAAAGCTAAAATCTTTCTGCGCATGCGCCGCTGGCGCATGCGCATAGGCGTTTTACTCGTGCACGCAAGACATTTACGACTGCGCATATGCGTCTGCGCAAGTGCAGAACACGTTTTCGTGTGCGCGTTTAATATATAACGGACGGTATAAGCTAAAATTATCTAATTATCTATTTCAGTTAATGTTGATGATTGCGTTGTTCTTTAATCTTCGAATTGGATCCGGCTTATTATTTTTTGCAGACTGTAAGAGCAATTTTCTAAAAGTAAGCTTGAACTTTCGATTATGTCAAATAGAATTTCCGATGCTGGAGCTCCCAAAGGATCTAGAAAATGAAAGTATGTTTCGATGTCCATCAAACAAAAAACAAATTGCTACAAAAAATGGATAAAGGCATATTCTTTGTTTATCTAACCATTCCGAAATCTGTTTATCAATTTCACGCTGCTCTGCGTGGGGGGGGGGACGTCGCAGCGCGCAATGAACTGGAAGTTGATTTGTCAACACTATCGTTATCTTCAGGGCAGATGTTTTTATTTTATTCCACTTGTAATTCCTTACTAAATGTAGTATTTAATTTCGATGTACTCCGTTCTTTGATATGATTTAAAATCAAATTCCTCATCATTATAAATATCACGAATACAAATCAAATAGTTTCCTGGTTGCAGTAAGGTATGCTTTACGCATCCGCGCGTTGAAAGAAATGTTTAATAAAGTAAACAAATAAATATTAGGCTTCTTTTTTGGTAAATTTTGATACCCTTTAGATCATAATTGCTCATTATTTTATAAATTACGGTTTCATATTTTTAATTTTATAATTTCTGCGTGCCATCTTACCAGATTTAAACTGATGATCTATAATCCGGAAAAATTGATAATCCGGAAATCGCTGAAGTCCCGACGAGTCCGGATTAAAGACTTTTGACTGTATATACTGAGTAGCTTATATCCCCAATGCCAACCTGGCAAATCATCTTTTGCTTGCATTACTACATGACTATCATGCCAGCTTCAGAAATTAGCCACAAAATGATGTCTAAAACAAATTTTTTAAAAATAATTAACTGAATACCGAATAGCATGGTAACTTTTTATGCTGATATCATGCTTGATGATGATTACAGACTTCAGCTGACTGCGTTGCGAAGTGTTGAGTGTGCTGATGGGGAAAAATATAACAGAAATTTTCCATATGCAAAAAACAGATTTTGCAAATGACATTCAAATATCAAAAGATTATGTTTAGTGCTACATGAATTAAGAATAACTGATCTGCTGTTCAGAGAAGCCTTCAGTATGTATGGGTATTTTATTTTTTCAGATAAGCCTTAAACATATGCAGGAAATCAATGTAAGTACAACGAATAACTAAATTAATACAATTCAGGCTTAACTTTCTCCCTGTGCAATAGAAGCAAGAAAAAATATAGCCAAACAACACATCTCTAGTTGCCAGTTTCATGACACAATGCAAAAGTGCATAGCGCAACCTACATTTTATGATGACAGCCATGAATTTGAAGCTTTTTGGGTATTGTAAACAAAAAGCAAAATTTTCCAATTAATGCAATCTGTGAAAAAGTGTGAAGATATGGTACCATATGAAGATGATGTAAGTTTTCTATTGTGATGACAATGCCCAAATTATCAATCAACAAACAGAAAATTCTGTAGTACGATTCTAAATCCTGAAAACTGATAAAGAAAAAAGTGACAGATAGCTGCTGAGAACAAAATTTTGATTGACGATTTAATGGAATCCACAAAATGGCAATTACAAGACTTGAAGAATGGAACTTCTAACTGAAGAAGAAATTATGTTTATAAAATTAAAGTCTTAGCAAAATGTATAAAATGTTTAATAAAGCAAACAAATAAATATTAAATTTTGTTGTAAATTTTATTTCCTTTCATAATAGAATATTTTGGTTTGAGAGAAATGATTGTTTCATCAATATGGAGGTATCAGTGCTGAAGTGAAATTAACAATTGGGACTCTCCCCATGTTTTATTACAAAAAAGTATCAAATGCACATGCGTAAAGCATATAAGAATTTCTTTGAAAATAAAGTCTGGGTTTTAGATCATTCCAGATCCTGGGTGTCTGGATTTTGGACTTTGTACCATATTGCCAAGAGTTTAAAAATTCTTAATTATAACTACATAATGCTCTTGTATTATTTTTTTTTTAACAGGGAGAAAAAAAAAAAAAAAAAAAAAAAAAAAAAAAAAAAAAAAAAAAAAGAGTCAGATTCATGGTAAAATTTGTGCTGTATATGAACAAAGTGCTGTTTTTGAAGAAACAGTTTAAAGGTGTTTCCAGAGGTATTGAAATTTCTGCTTCAAAGATGATACCTGCTTTAGATGACCTCCTCTCTCTCTATATAAAGACCATTTAAAAGAATCTTTCTCTGAAAACCCATGGTTTATATTTCAAGAACTATTGGAGTGATTAAATATTCCAAAAAACATCTTATTTGCTCCATTTCTCAACTGACCTTGCTGTTCCTCTCATATAAATGTTTCTATTAAAATCTATGAAATAATATTTCCAGATAATACCATTTTGCAAAACAATACTAGAAACATCTAGCAATATATCTAGAAAGAGGCAATCTATCAATGCTTTAAGGAATGTCGAGTACTAAGGTTAATGAGTTGCAATTTATGTCACTTTGAAGCTGACTAGGTTATACTGCTTCACATTTCAAACAAATATTTTCCACAAACTTTTTAAGAATAGAAGTATTTACTGAATATAAATTCATATGTACCGAACAGATTTATCATCAGCAGCACTAACAATCCTTTTTTCATCTTGAAGAAACAATGCCTTTTTCACAGCAGATGTATGTCCACTCAGGCACACACCACCTAGAACATGAGGTACAAAAGAATATTGAAAACATATTAGACACTAAGAAAGAAAAACAATTATGTATTATAGAAATACAGTTTTAGATCTGTTGATAACTCTCACAAAATTCATTTCCAACTATTATCAAATTACTGTAAGAAAAAGTAAAAAAAAAAAAAAAAAAAAAAAAAAAAAAAAAAAAAAAAAAACCCTTCAAAAGATTAAATTTTGTGTGCAAATCAAAACTTGGTTGAAAAAACATGAACCAGATATATAGCTATTCCAAACAAAAAATACAAAATCTACTCATAAAAATGTTTATTTTTTTAATACAGAATAACATTTTGACTGAATAACAAAACCACCCTTTCAGGGAAAAATCTCCAATACAGATCTTTAAAATACACAGTATATATACACAAATATATATAATTCAGACTTTCAAATTGAACTTATTAATAACACTAAAAGACCAAAAAGTGAGTACAAGATTTATCTTCCTTAGTTGAGAGATGTATAAACATAATACCTTTTGGGATATTTATTGATATGGAACTCTGGGGAAATAATAGTTTCACTGCTCTGCACAAGTTCATTACATCTGCTTTAGCAGTTTATCACATTTACAAATTCTATTCCATTATAACCAAAAAAAAAAAAAAAGCTTTTGTATCAGTTGAGAGCTTGCAAGTGAGCACAACGACAGCAGATTAATACACATATCAATACTGCGAACAAAAGAGCAAAAATGAAAAATATTTTAACCATTTGTTAATATTCCTATGATGGATGGGTACTAAAGATAAATCATGAGCCTGAAATGTGAATACTAAAAACATGTTGATAATGTCAGCTTAACAGTCTCACAAACTGAAAGTTATACTAATAAATTAAATTTTAATAAATTATGGGAAAATATAACATTAAATTGTTTATCAAATTTTTATGCATAGCAATTTAGAAATTCAGTGTTCATTACACAATGCACATAAACTTCGAATCTCATTACACTTATGGAAAAAATAAATTGTAAATACAGGCTAAGACAGAAAAATAATGAAATAGCTCACATTGCATAAAAACTAGTCTGCATGGCAGATGTCAATTAAAATCTCTGATATCCAGGATGAAGCACATGGCTGTCCCTGAGATATCTTTTAAATGCATTTTTTGCATCATGCAAAAACAATGCATTACCAGAATTCTGAACAATGCAGACAGTAAAATTTTATGCGAAACTTGGAGAAAATTGCATACATTTTCAGAGATGAAAAAATAGTATGATGACCCTTGCACATCTATATCAGTGAGGATAACTAGTAGTAAATTAAATTTTTATCGTTTTATAGTGCATGGAATTTTAATACACGTATAGGTCATGCAAAAGCCATGTGCTAGACTAATTCTAAAGCACCCCATACTCAAGCAAAAGTACAGATAAAAAAATATGTGGATCTTTTTTAATACAACTGAAGTGATAGGAATTTTTTCAGAATGCGATAATCAATGACACAGCCTCAATTTTCTAGTATCATTTTCCCAAATATTCATGCCTGAAAATTTTGTTTAATAAAAATCTTATATAAAGAAAGACTTGATCACAATTTATAGGAAACCTGATCAATTTAAATTTATTTCTGTTCTGATGAGGTTACTATGTCAGTAATAATTGATTTATAGCCAATATTAATAACTATGACAATACAATTAATTTCTCAGAATTGACCACTTATACAAGGGTAAAATACAAGCAAGTTACATTTGTACACAAGTATGCCACAGTATTTTAATTTTCAATAATTTTTCAATTTCAATACTCACTCTCTTCTGGCCTATGAAGATCAAAGATTCGAACTTTCTTATCATTTGATGCTGTAAGAAGCTTGGAATCATCTGAATTGAAATTTACACTTTTAACTATGTGAGGATGAGGAAATGTATGAAGTTCTTCTCCACTGATTGCATCCCAAAGCTTAAAATAATAAGATTTAAAAAATTATTCCTAGGTCAATTACAATACAGTACTTGCTGCTTACTGCATTCAAATTTCCAGGAAAAAGAAATGATACATACTAATCAATAGAAAAACAACATTTATTAAATTCAAATTGGCGAAAGTCTGATTATCTGTAATAAATCATTCGAGGCTGATATGAGCCATTTCCAGTTCATTTATTTTTCAGTTAAATAGTTCTTCAGAAATTTTGGCCAGCGTAGTTAGAACCAAAACTCCTGAGGTGTTGGCATACTTCCCTAGTTACTGTCAAATATAATTTGCAAATCTCTTTGTTCAGATAGAGCTACAATCTTATGATTAACAACAGCAGTTCTCTAGAGGAAATGGAAACAAATTCTTCGACTATAAATGCATGGGTGTTTCCCAGAACAAAAGAACAGGTGGTAATTAAGTGAACACTGGTTACCTTTCTTGAACACCAACTGACAAGGAATGGGCACGCATCACACATTAAGTCTGCAGGGTGTTCTCAGAAAACATCACGAAAGACTTCCTTGCATTATCATACATGTCATTTGTCTCTCTCTGTGGTTAACCAATCACATGCCTTCTTATTTCCAGTGAATAGTCAGCAGGGGAGACAGTTTAAGATTAAGGTTATCCACGAGAACTTTAATAGGATATTTGCATCTGAATTTAAGTTTTTTTTTAAGCTGGTGTAACTGATGCAATTTTGTAGAGTTTAACTAGGATGTCATCTCAACAGATAACACTTGAGTTAAAACAGTAAAATCAATGGTTGTTTCTCTAATTATATTTTCTTAAAACTTATGTATATATTTCTACACAGAAAGTTGTGTTGGTAAGTATATATAAAAAAAGTGCTCTGGAGAAAATTGAAAGTGACAAGATTTCACAGACATTCACAGACACAGTAATTACAAGTGATTTGATTTCAGTTTTGAAAGAACTTAATGAAGAAACCGATTCCAATTCAAAAGTTGTAGAGCTGAAAGATAAGCTTTCAAGTTCTAAAGAGTACCTAAATATATTTGGTAAATGTAGCCAAAGTGAAACAGTTTTTAAAATGAGAATTTCCCAAATAGTGTTATGCAATTTCCTTAAACAAAGAACTAAAACTGATAAAGTACTAATAAAAAATGCAAATGTCTCAAGGAAGCACAAAAGGGATGTGAAACCGAGAGAAACTGAAACAGCTTCTAGAATGGTTTTAAGCTAAAAAAAAAAAAAAAAAAATTCTAGAGGTGTTTTTGTGCCAACTGTGGATGGTTCATAAGATGGAAAAAGAGAAATAACATCGTTTATCAGAAACTATATCACAAGAAGGAAGGGGCAGATCATTGTTTGGCTGAGAAATGGATAAAAGACGTTTTACTTGGGCTTCTAAAAGAATACAAGCCACATGAAATTTATAATACATATGAAATTGGTCTGTTTTACAGAGCATACATTAATATTTAGACATGAAACAGCCACTAGTTTTATAAAATTAAAAGAAGTTACTCTATTATTAATGATCAATACAGATGCAACAATTAATAGATAGAGTACAAAAACTTTATGTTCAAAAAGAAGTCAAGAATTTATCTTTAACTTACCATAATAACAAGAACTCGTGCATGATATGCAATATTTTTACTGATTTCCTTTTGAAATATAACAGATCTGAAAAAATTAAATAATAGCTTTGCTGTTAAATAACTGAGCTGCACATATGATATCATTCTGAAAAACACTAAATTACTGTTTCTTTCTGCAAATATGATTTCTAACATTCAGCCATCAGAGCAAGATATAAGAGTTTTCAAATGTAATTACAGAAAAGGTTTCATTCAAAAAATAAATAAATAAAATTTAATCTTCTGAAAACTTCAAAGAAGATTAGCTAAGTTGATATCTTTGCTAAAGGCTACAAATATTCAATGCATGGGAAGCAGTCTCCCAAACACAGTTAGAAACTGCTTTGGAAAATCTGCTTTTTTTTTTAGTAAAACCTACAGAGGATTCACAATCTATTTCTGATATTTCATGCATCAGTGAGAGAAATGATGAATATTCATTTTTAGAATATGTTCCAATTAATGACAATATTGAGATAGCATGTGAAAATATTAACTACAACATTATAGGAAATCTTAAAAGAGCTGTAGAAATTTAAACTGACACTAAAAGTGATACGAACGAAAGTAATTATATGTCAACCTCCACTGAGTCGAGAAAAGCACTGCAAACTCTAAGAACTTTTGAATTAAAAGGTGGAGATCAGAAAAGCTACCAACAGTTTTACGAACTTGAAAACGCAACTGAAAGACTGTTGATGAACAATGTGAAACATACGGCAGTTCTTTGTAAAAGTTTATAATTTCATCAGACATGTAATAAATTTTATATATATATTATTATATATAAAGTAATTATATATAAATTATACACCATAATTTATTATATATATATATATATAAAACTAAATTTTCAACTTTTGTAGATAGTTTAGTTTTAGCATTAATTTTCAATTATAATTATTACATGAACTGTTACTAAATATATTTAAAGTTGATACCATAATTTGCAATATTGAAATCGCCATTTATCAAACTCAGTCACTTAATAAACTTGAATATGCTTGTAACGGAAGCGATTTCAATAAGTGACAAGTACTGTACAACTTTAAAAAGCAAAACTGAATATGAATGGAAAAAAAAATAATTATTTGAAAACTACCGAGACATTTATATGCATTTATTTTTCAAAAAGACTAATGAAAAATTTGACACCAGATTAAAAATACACCATTCACATGCTTTTCTTATCATATATATGCTTATATAATTTTTTTAAAGACATCTATAAAAAAAAAAATACCTTAGCTTCAAAATCTGCTGATCCAGAAGCAGCCTTGGTGGCTTCTTTATTCAAATCTACACCCCACACAGCTCCTTTATGGCCAACAAATGTTCCAATCCAATCACCAGTGTCACCCTGCCGTAACATTGGCTTGCCATCTTAAGAAAGTAATTACACACCATAACAATAAAGAAAATGATATTTCAATAAATGTTGGCAATTTGGCAAACTATTTTAAAGCAACCAAATTGCAGGATAATAGATTTATAAGTTATACATAACTAAAAAACTTACTCATACAATAACAGTTTTTCAACACTAGTACAGTTCTTCTTTGATATTATCTAGTATTTAAAGGTAAACTTTTAAGAAACCCTCACGGTAACTTAAACCTGGAAAAATTTTGTCGGAACAGCAAAAAGCAATTTGTGAGGAAGAAGGAAGAGTGAGAAGATAGAAAATGGTAGATGTTGCTAAGACATCTATGTGGTTATTTTGAATAATAAACAGATGAATTTACTATGCATTTTTAATGAAAATTAAATTATTTTGATGGCTCTTTGAGAAGCATTAAGTCTAGAAAAGCTGTTATTTTCATAACATTACAATAAGATTTCAAAAAAATATCACGTGCTAAACACCTGTTACTAACAAATATACGGTAGAAATAGCTTGCAGCAAGAACCCTGGACTTTGAGAAATAAACTTTTAAGTGTGCATGAGAACATTAAAACATCTACTCAAGCCATTTTCAGAGTGTTTGCATGAATAATGAAGAAATTACTTGATAGTTTCAGGGTGACTGTGATGTCATTTCAAAAACCCTGAAAACTACCTCGGAGTAAAAATGTGACATAATTTCAAAAAATTCAAAATATTAATGTGGTACACAAGCATGTAAGAACACACAAATTTTCAAACAATTTTATAAAAAAAATTAAAAGGCTTTTTAATTTATCAATTGTTAATTATGTTTTACTATGTCCTTTCACATACCTTTTTGGTTTCTCAGCATTTCTTAAAAATAATTGCTAAGTTTAGCTTGATTTGAAGGAGGGTGGGAGAAATTAAATATTTCTGGAGAAGGGCTGCTGGGGATATTTTTCTTTGCTAAGAATAGGAAGTTCAGTATGATTAGCAAGCCATTTTGATGCAGACAATGACTTTTCACGTAACACTTTAAGTATTAAGATTACGTTTGGCCTTTTTTTTTTTTTTTTTAATTATGGCAAAGCACTCGAGGGCTATCTGCCTAAAGGGATGGATGCCTTTGTGCAGGGCTTTCTAATGGCAACTGGCTCGTATACATGTAACAAATGGGAAAAACCATGAAAATGTCCATGCAGCCAGCTAGTTCATGGATTCAAATCTTGGACCAAACTACCAGTGTTCAGCGACTATTTTCCACTTTTCCGCTGGTGAGCGTATTAAGATTAGAGTCTGATGTATGCATAATATCAGATATCGAAGTTAACAAGCAAGGAATTGCTAATGTGAAAAGAATGCTTCAAGGAATTTAAAGAACTCTGACAAGCTGTCCAATAAATTAGCCTTAAATTTGTTACTAATATGGCCTTGAAAGAAATTTTCGGCTAATCTTTAGAATATGGTAACAGGTAGTTTGGCAAACATTTTGGTAAGGCAATAAAGGTTACTAGCTAGGACTTTAGCAGTGTACATGCATAAAGTCAAGAGTGTGCGCAATGTCATTTTTGTGCAATTCTGGGATTTTTTTTTTAAGTGAAAATAGGTCGACGTGTACATGGATACCGTGTATGTGCAATTCTAAAAAACGTGGCAAGCAGTTTGCGATTCTGCACTTTCTCCCATTTTCGCACCTAATCTTTGTCATGATTAAGTATTTTTGTTCCATAAAAGTTCTAGCATAAGCGTAATTCGGCTAGCAGTTTGTTGGAAAAAAATGTTGAGTTAAAAAAAAAAATGCCTTTACTTCGTGAAAACAAAATGGCATCCAAACAAAAACTAGCAGGTTGCTGTAGCAGGGTTGGCCGCCAAATTTTCGAGAAAAAATAGCCAAGTTACCATAATCCAAAGATTAACCAAATTTTCTAATCCAAAAATTTCTCATGTATTTTTGTCTAATGAGAATAAATAACATTTCAGTCTTCACAGTACCTAGACTGTCACTGTTCAAGGATATTCTAATTTTTAGCTTAACATCACCCAGAAAATTAAATACACTTTCAACAGTAGATACAAGGATGGAAACTTAATTACATTAGGTCAGTTATTTAATTTGTCAGTAACTGGATAGCTCTATTTCTCATCCTGTTTCACCCTCAATGCTTCAGTCCAAAGTTTACAATATCAGTTTTTTGTTTGTGTATAAGGAAAGTGATTATCTATTTTATAGCTTGATTTCTTGATGACATCTGACAAATTATCTGCTAATTTCATCAAAAAAATTAAAGCAGTTCTTCCACAATGCAGAACAGGACTAATACCATTAAATTTGATGGAGACAGAGTTACTTAAGGATAGCCTTTTTCGGGGGGGGGATAGGAGGGGCATATAATCAACAGAGTTTATATATGCCTCTTTCAAATTACATTCTAACTCCTTTTTTAATAATTAACTTTTCCAGAATTCTTAACAATTTTTGCACCAATAAAAATTAATCACAGACATTTATTTTTAAGATTACCTGTCCATATAGTTTAACATGATACATAATAATGATTAGGTGTTCATGCAATTTCTGTAATCTACAAGTTCTGGATTTGAGAAAGTATAAAATAGAATTCTATATCATGATCACCCCTGCTATCTAGTAACAGATTACTTATACATTAAAAATAACATATCCCTTTAAATTATCGATTACATTTAATTTAACAAATACAATAAGATCATTATGAGGAAAACTTTGCAAAGCACAAATAATAAACAAATGAAGAAATTCAGCACTACCAGAAATAAAAACAAAATTTATTACTGATTGCAGTTTTGTTAGAACTAAAATTTATCAAACACTATTGTTACTGTTAACATCTGAAGAAGCAATAATGTATGGAAACTGGAGTACCATATTTTCCCAAAGTACTTTTTAGCACACAATTTAGAAACTCCTAAGCTATGGTAACAATGTAATATATGCACAAGTACAAAATACTTTCGTTGAAGTAAAACAAACAGTTTGGAAATTGATAAGTTCTTTGAAATACTTTATATAAACGTTAATGTGTTTTTTATGTGTGCTATGTTTATCATTTAAGTCGGCTCTTTAAAAATAGTATATAAACTGCGTAATTTTCCCCTCCTGATTTTCAAATGGTAAAATTAGTAGAAAAAGGGTGCAAAAGTAAATGCAGCATTTGATTAAAAGAACAAAAATAAAAAGGGGAAAATATACTTCAGGGTACCCCTTGGCGAAAACTGGTGATTTTTTGGTGCCATTCCTGTTTACCTGCGATGCCCTCCTAAAGCATCCAAAACATAATGCAATAAAACATTAAAAATTATAATTTTAATAAACTGCATTTTAAATCAAAATACAACACAGACATAACATAAAAAATGGAAATACATGTCATCTAATCTGTGCAGTACAAAAGGAAATATCCACTTATTTAGAAACTTCTATATCTTCAATGTGTAGTACATAGAATTCCTTAAAAGCATAAAAAACTGTTTAAAATCATCTAAACTAGAATTTGTATACTGTCGTCGCCACATAAATTCACAAAAGTTAAAAATCAAAAATATCCTCCATATTACTGATGGTATTTCTTTTGAAAATCCAAATTTTATTACACCCCACATCCCTTCCTATAGTGTTTATATGAGATCCAGTTTCCAAATCCTTAAATGTCACTGCATAATTTACTGAAAGGTGAACGAAGCCATTTAAATCTTCATTTACACACCAATCAATCAATGTTTTCTTTCCCATTCATTCCAAATTGTACAGAAATGTCACGTTAATCTTACCAATAGCAGTCATTTTACGGTATACAACACAAAATAACCAACATCCAATGTAGAAATAAGCCCTGAGAAATATTTTCCCAACAATTAAATTCACCACAGTCACACATTACAACCAATCACACCATAATAGGGTTTCTAAAACGTTCGCCGTAAAATACTCAGGTTATCATAAATGAAACACAACTTGACGATAATCCTAAAATATAGATTACCCAATAAAAGAAGTTAAGAATAGATTTTTCTATGTGTTTGACAGCAGCAATGTAGAAGCTACATTGCCAACATCAATAGAGTAAAAGTTACACCAATCATGATGCTGCCATGGTGGGAATCTTAAAGAAACCAGATTAAAAAATGAATTTATTATGACAATAACTCCAATATTAGAAAATGATAAAATTCTATTATTAATTACTTGGCAGATTTATGCTGATGTTTTCTTCAAAATTATATGCTTAAGAACATGGTAAATCACTTTTCCATGTCTAAGAATGAATAAGTCTTTAACTGACATGAAGGTGATAGCAAAAGTAAGGTCTCCAAAGTGCTGGGGTTGCAGAGAAACCATTCATGCGGTTGTTAACAACACTGCTTCCCCACTCCCAAACAAGCTTGTACATACTCTGCTGGGATATACAGTCTTGGTCAGTTAGAGCTCCCATTAGGCACTACCATCAAGTGCGATGCTAGCGCAGTTATTTGTTTTTTTTTAATGCAAAACCAAATGAAGTTCATCGGCAATTGACAGAAAGCGAATGGCAAGTCGTGCCTGGATGTCAGAAATCTCTACAAATGGTGTAGAGAGTTTGCAGCTGATCATCATGAAATTCATGATGAAGAAAGAAGTGAGAAATATTCAACTTCTGATGAGATAGCTGCAGAGGTTGAGCAAACTATGCAAGAAGATTGATGGACCACTCTGGATGATTTCTGTATTTTGGTTCCTGATATTTCCTGAAGCAGCATTCATGAGGTTCAATGGTTCCTCAACAATATGATGTTATGCCGGTATGACATGAGCATATAAAAACTGCCACAGTCTAAAAATATGCACTGACCAAAATGGCAATTTGGTAGAAAGATAATGTTCAAGTTTTAAAATAAAATTAAAAAATCTTTGAAAATAAACACTTTATATTTCTAAAAAAAAAAAGAGGGGGCAGGTTTTATTTTTGGGATTACTCTTGTAGTAATAGCACACAAAAACAAAATTTTATCATTAAAGCAATTTTGAGCAGTGTTACATGATAAAGTTTTTCCGCAGAAATCGAAAAAATTTGCTTCTTCCACTTCTGAAACACAAGTTTAGTTCGAACAGCTGATCGGAATGTTGCTTTGTTTTCAGCCCAAGTTCAGTGATTATGCCAGACGTAAAGAAAGCACTACGGATAATCAACATATACAATATCCTTCAAGACTCCAGAACAATGTGAAAAAGCACAAACAGGTGTTCAAGTATTTAGCAAAAACAATTCAGCATGATTATTGATATTGCAAACATAACTTTTTCTAGAGCAGCGTTCCAAATTCTATATACCTGGCTGGAAGGAAATTTTTGATATTAAAAATATTATGTTTCATTTGTGCTATACAGCTCTGACTCGGCTCCATGCGATTTTTCTACAAACTCAAAATCCACCTCAAAGTACATCATTTTGCGTAAGTTGATAAAGAAATGAAGAAATACAATATTAGCACAAATAAAAACAAAATTTACTGTTGATTGCAATTTTATTAGAAATCATAGTTATGAAACACTGTTTTTACTGTTAACATTTGAAGAAGAAATAATGCTATGCATGGAGGTAGTAATATATTCCATGCAATTGTGATAAACAGCTTCAAGAACATCTCGAATGAAAATTTCTTCCACTGCTATGATGAGTGACTAGAATTACAATATTTAATTGCTGGACATCTATTCTGAAAGTAATAAACTATAGCTGTAGGATTTTCCTTAGTTAACTAACCTTCTATTAAAATTTTTGTTATCTTTCCTGAACTCCTCACATTTCCTTGGCAGGATGTACATTTAAAGTTAAGTGAAGTGAGTATTTAAATAGGTTTATCTTGGAGTTTACTTAGAGCATGTTTTTACTAGCCAGCACACGTTTGGTAGCTGATCCTGCCGTTACGCTAACAAGCCCCTTGATCAAATAACTGTCACGCCCGTTAGGTTTGTTGAGTCAATTTAAGTTAGTCATAACTTAACATGCTAATACAGCACTAGGTTAATCTTCGGATTATGCTAACTTGGCGATTTTTTGGTGACCAACCCTGCTACAGCAACCTGCTAGTTTTTTGTATTTTTTTCGCCATTTTGTTTTCACGAAGTAAAGGCTTTTTTTTTTTTTAACTCAAAATTTTTTTCCAACAATCTGCTAGCCGAATTACGCTTATGCTAGAACTTTTATGGAACAAAAGTGCTTAATCATGACAAAGATTAGGTGCGAAATTGGGAGAAAGTGCACAATCGCCCACTGCTTGCCACGTTTTTAAGAATTGCACATACACAGTATCATCCATGTACATGTTGACCTATTTTCACTTAAAAAAAAAATCTCAGAATTGCACAAAAATGTTATTGCATACACTCTCGACTTTATCCATGTACACTGCTAAAGTCCTAGCTAGTAACTTTTACCGCCTTACCAAAATGTCGCCAAACTACCTGTTATCATATTCCAAAGATTAGCCTAGCACTATTCTATTTAGACTTGAATTGATTCATGTAATAACATTTAAGTTCCACCGCAAGTTGTCGGTGTTATTCTTATTGTAAAGCACCAACTACGTGCCTTTCTGCTCTTAATTGAAAATAATATAGGGTTATTTTCACCCTTCTTCTGTGATGATATTACTTCATGCCTGTGCAAGAATTTGCCAGTTTCATTTGTAGGATCTAGATAAGTTTATGTGGTCTGAAAGGTTACATAGCTATGCATATGTTTTAAAATCATTTCTCGCATTTTTAAGACAGACTGTGCATATTTGTGCGAATTTTTATAGGCTTTAATTTTACAGAAAACAATGTTTGAGCAATTATTTGATAAATATTCTATAATACATTTTAAATAAGAAATCCTCTTATTTTGAAAAATACATTAACTTCATAATGTTCTTTTTCGTAAAAAATAATAAACTAATAAACTTAAAAAAGTACTAAGCACTACTATTAGTCCTATATTAAAAAATTCTCATTCATAACTGTTCATATTTCTAAAAAGGTTAACTGTTTATAGTGTGGCTTAGTCTGTTAACTGGCTGTTATATCTGCCTTACATAACCTTTGTTCAGAACACACAGAAACGTAGGAAATGAATATAAAAGAAGGATGATTTTAAAGGTTAATATTTCAACTGAAACTTGCAAAAATTCTGGTACAAATTTATGGAAAATACAACAATAAGTTTCAGTGGAAGATTAACTTTGTTACAGATGATTTTCACATGCTTTACAATTTGTTATAACTATATAAAATAACATTAAGTAGACAAAGCATTAGACAAGACCGAAAAATTCATTTGTTATAAAACACATTCATTGTGGTGGAATCTGTGTTTTCAAGCACTTTTATGTTTTTCCTCTAGGAACAAAATTTAATCATGTTTCTGTTAAAATAAGTTAAATATTAACATTTGTTTTAAATAGTACTTTATTGGGTTGATCTTTACATTATGGTAATTTGGCGTTTTTTTGGCGAAAATTTGGCGACTGACTCTCCTACAGCACCTCTATTTTTTTTTCCCGCCGCCATTTTGTCTTCACGAAGTAAAGACATGTTTCTTTTCTTTTTATCTACTGAACACTTCTTCCAACAATCTACTAGCCGAATTACACTTGTGCTAGAAATTTTATCTAACAAAACTGCTTAATCATGACAAATGTTCACTGCAAAATTGGGAAAAAGTGCACAATACCATACTCCTTACGCGTTTTTTAAAATAACACATACACATAAACCATGTACACGCCGACTTATTTTTACTTTAAAAAAAAATCCCAGAATTGCACAAAAATGGCATTGCGCACACTCTTCACTATATCCATGTACACTGCTTTTTTCTCATAAATTAGAAAAATTTCACGAAAATACATGACAATTTTCTCAATCTTTAAACCTGGTAAAAAGAACATATATGAAATTACCTGATCGCGAAAAAGTATTTACCCTTTCCAAATATGAACATTTCCACATATAAAATAAATAAAATATCCAAAAACTTTTACCTCTAAATCATCTATTACATTATACACGTCACCAACGAATTCATACCGCAAGCATTACAAATACTTAGTATCAAATATTTAAATTATTTCCATGCACGTTTACTTCAACTTAAACGTGTACCAAATTCCTACAAACATAAAATTCACAACTATCATTTAATTAAAATATAATTAAATTCAAAATCACTACTTAAAATATAAATGAGCACATACATTAAATTAATACATACATAAATACCCATTTCGAATTCACTTTAGTTACGGCCATGGGATCCAAAAATTCATGAACACTGTTTCACACAACACAGAATAAAGCCAAATACAAAATTTCCAGATTTTTTCCTGATTTCCCCCCTTTTCCGATTAAAGAACCGTAATTCGTCCGTTAATATCACATGACGTATCCCATGATCTCTCATTTCCCTCACACAAAATAATGCGTAATCGGAACTGAGTACTGCTCACATTATTACCAAAGTCCCAGGTATTAACCTTTATCGCCTCCAAAATGTCGCCAAACTACCAGTTACCATATTGTAAAGATCAACCCTTTTGTTTTAGTTAAAAGACTCCACAGTCACTATTTCGTAATTCTAGTGTACATCCTCTTTTATTTATTTATTATTTTTTAAAATTTGCATTTGTGGATGTTAAAGTTCCAGTTTAAAGCCTGCTTTTATAATATTTTAATATATCTTCAGCATTCCTTTTTTATTTTTAGAAACGGCAGTTTCACAGACAGAACCTTTTATATTTGTACATCAAAATTCACATGACTGGTTAAGATAAAATACACAGACAGGATTAAATATTCGGAGTTCATCACTTTATGAGAGCTGCCAATTTGACAATAATGCAATGAAATGAATAAAAATTCAAATGATAAAAGGCAAACACTTATTTTGCAAAAAATAAGCAATCCTTTTACTAATTTTCCAGAATAGCAAAAGGAGAAATAAAATTTAGATAATCACTTTAGATATATTTACTGTTATGATCAAAACTGAATATGCTAAATTCCTTTGTCGAAACAACATTTGATTAAATTTTAATCGTCCAGAAATCTACTACAAATCTTTCTACAAATAACACTAAATCTTTAATTTTGAAGGCTGGTTTCAATAGTGCGCCTGAATATATTTTGACGCAGCACACATTTTCACACACAAATGTTAGCAATTCGAATTCATCTCGCTATCAATAATTTATCTGATAGATTTAATAAATCCAAAATATGTCCAATACTTTCTGTTAAAATACGTAATCATTCTGAATATTAAATATATTTTAAAAAGGATATTATTTCGACGATAAAAATAATTTCGGGGCATACTATAACAAATTATATATCCAGTACTGTTTGAAGCTTATAAAATACGTGCATTGATTTCTGTTATAAAGATTTAAAATGAACTTTAGTATTATTTTGTTTATACTTATATATTTCCAGTCAAACAGAAGTGAATTTTAAATCAAATAAATAGAAGCACTGTTATGTTTCGAAGAATAAGATTAAGAAGAAAGAATTTTAAGAAAATTAAGAAATGTAACTAAATTTTGAAAATTTACCTTTACACGCTGAGATTAAAAAATATCCTGATGAAGTAACAGAACTAAAAGCTAAGTCAACCACAGGTCTAGTATGACCACTGCAAGTTAGTGCAGTTTGTCTCAAACCTGCCATCTTTGCTAAATGTGTCGAACAGTCATGGTTATAGAGTGGCAAAGAACTTCAGCAGCGGTATTTGGTATTTGTAGTAGCTACAATCACCTACCGGTTTACATATAAACTGTCAACATAAATAGTTTATTAATGCTTGACATCTCAGAAAATTAATAAATAATTTTCCTTTCAATAGTTTTGCATGCATGATTTTCATTTGGAAGAGTAAAATGCAAAATAACTGTTGATATCTTTAAAAAAAGTACCTACTGAAGCTAACGTACTGTTTTTCTGCGAATCAGAATACAAATGATAATAACATACAGAGTATAAATTGTCAAATACATAAACAAGTACTGTATTCATTTTCAAGATGGATTTTTGTTTATCTTTTATGAGTTTAACTGTATATATGTTCTGTTATTGTTCCGGTATTTGTTTATGCATTCTCTTTAAATGATTCAATAGCAATCGCAGCTTAATTCAAAGCATTTAAATGCAGCTTAATTCAAAGTTCTGCTTTTAAGTGTGTGTTGCTTGTTCAAGTGACTCCTTATGTATGATAAAAATTTTAATAAGCATACTTAATATAAAAATTAATATATTTATATGAGATAAAATTTTTATGTAAGATTGTGTACCTGGAAGATGGTATATTTTATGTCACTGCTATTCGATTTGATAAGTAAAGTGTTGTTTTTGTTGAGACTTACTTCCTGAAATGTCTGATTTATAACTGCATTTAGTAACACAATTGCGTGCCTCAGCTGGCCCTAAATTTTCTTAATAATTGTATTTATTCATTGCAAAAAATTAATTTAGGATATTTTCAAAATTATGGGATGTGGGATCTTGCTATCAAAAAAGTATGTATTAATAGACATAATATTGAAATTTATTTGAAAAGAATAAATAGGGTGATATGATGCAAAATACTGGGACAAATTAGAATCCATTCTTATAGGAACATGGTGTGAGGGCTTTAAAATCACCTTCGTGATTGTTTAAAAGTTCATTTACAGGTGGTTTAGAGAATTAAATTCTGTTGGATGGGGAAAAAACAATTTAATGTGGCTAATAAGACTGTGATTGATTGGAAGAATTACTTGAGTGAAATTTTCACACATGATCTTTTAAATAAGAGTTTGGATAAAATCAGAAGGCTAACAAAATTGTAGAAATTGAAGAAAGTGTGAAAACAAAGCAGATTTACTATTTCCACTGCAAAGGCTGTTAGGTGAATTGTGCAGAGAAACAGACAGATACTTTATTGTAAGATTTGCAGGTAGAAGTGCAGCTGCTGGAAGAAATAAAAGAACATAATAGATTATGGGTTTGCAGTTGGATTGAAGGCCTAAAAAATTGCTGAATTATGAAGTGCAAAATTTAAACATTTAATCTTAATCACCAACATAATATTGAAGAACGAGGAATTAATCAGCATTCTTAAAACATTGAAAGACTCTGGGGTTTAGCAAAATGAGGCAATACAAAGTACTGTAGAATGCAGGATTAATATTTAAGTGATTTTGTGCAGCAAGAAGTTCATAAAGAAGATGCCTATTTTATTGTTATTTTAAAAAATATTTTAGATTTTTGGCTGCTGAATGATTGGTGCAAGTTTTAATGAATTTATTTATCAGATAATCTCAAAGCTTGAGCTTGTATTTATGTAAGTTTTTTATATGCTGTATTCATGATGTTTGTCTCTTGATTATGTAGTTAAATAAAGAATGATCTGTAGTTATCTAATTATATAAAGAACCATCTGTCTCTTTAAATTTCCACTATTTTGATTGGCGAAAATTTGGCGGGATTCCTGCAAGCTTTCTGAAGAAAGAAAAAAAAAAAACTTTTTTTTTTTTTTTTTTTTTGTATAAATAGCATAATTACTTGGTATAAAGAATAAAACATTATAAGAAAGTTTGTAAATATTAGCCATTTTAAATGCTAAGGGATTTTCTGAATAAGACAGTAATATAAGTTTAAGGACAGCATCTTCATTGGCTTTAATTATAGGTGTAAGGATAAACTTTATTTTACCTAGCTCTTATTCAATTTTTCTTTTATCAAAAGGATACTTTACTTGATACTTTTTGATATTATCATAGTTAAGTGCTTTTATGTTCTATAAATATCTTTTTTTTCATTTCTTTATAAGAACTTTCAAGCAGCTTCCATATAATCCATGGCCCACCAGCGCCCGAGCGATAAAGTCACTGAACACTGGTAGTTCGGTCCGAGGTTCGAATCCCGCAAACGGGCTGGCTGCATGGGTGTTTTCGTGGTTTTCCCCATGTGTAACATGTATACGAGCCAGTTTCCCTTAGAAAGTCCTCCACAAAGGCATCCCTCCCATTAGGCAGATAGCCCTCGAGACTTTGCCATATTCACTCACACACACCATATTATCCAAATCCATGACTTTCTATATTGTGAAGGTACCTTTGCAGAAAAGACCAGTTGATCCATCTATGTCTACCATTTAATTCTACTTTTGGAGTGTTTTCATCACTAATAACTGATGCTGTATATTTTAGCTTTTAAAAAAGATTAGGTGATTTTATTTTAGTGTAAAATAGCTTTATGGAATTTCATGAATGATCCAATCAGTTTACTCCTGTAGACTTTCAGCATATACTGATTAAAAGGGTTATGTTGTTTTCACGTGCAGTGCTTCAGCAGCTTCCAAACTCTTTTCTCTTTGCATGGGTTGTACATTTCTTGGATGCAGGGCAAATTTCTTGTGATCTGTATTCTTGCTTCAATTTTTTACTAAGCTGATAGTCATCTGTATGAACTGTTTTTTCTGATATTTCAGATGCATATTGCTATTAAATGCAGGAAGTAAACTTAGATAAAAGTAAAGAAGCACACTAGCAAAATTTTAAAATAATTCCATTTAATGTTTGTAAAAATTTGGTAGCACCAATCTGAGCTTTCAAGGTACATGCAAATTTCACTACAGCTCATTGCAAAAACAAATGATGGAAGCTGCATTTTCTTTTTGTCGGTCAAAGCACAATTTTTGGAATTTATTTCCCTTATAAACTTCTATGGGGTGGGCTCTATCTGCATGAATGAAAATCCTCCCCACGTCCTGCTATAGTCCAACTGCAAAAATAAAAATTTCTTTTCCCCAGTTGCCTACAAAGTTACAGTTTAACTTTTCAAAGCCAAGAGGAAAATAAAAATAAAGAAATAGAATTA